ATAAACAAACAAATAAACAAATAAACAAACAAAAAACACAAACGAACAAACAAACAAACAAATAAACAAACAAAAAACAGACAGACAGACATATAGCCAGACGATACAAACAGACAGTAAAAGTTCATCCGTGTGCCAACCACCTAAAACACAGCCTCAAACTATAGCTCTAGTAATCGATTTTCTAAGAATTAAATACATTTATAACATTTGACAGTTTAAAAAGCTTTATAGTATTCGACAATAAAAGTTGTAGAGTTTTTAAAATACAAGTTATAGATTAAAGTAGTCTATCGCTCTTCGGTGGAGCCAGTATCTTCTCAGTTTCATTTTAAATATTCTTTAAAATTAGTTGTTAAAGTAAATTGTGTAAATATAGTAGTTTTGTTATTTTTTATCGTGTAGAGTGTTTATCAAAAAAGAATAAGAAAATAAATCAATAAAGATTGTTGTAGATCTCGTATGGTGTCTTGCACTATTTTTTATTTTTGAAGCGTTTCAAGCTCGTCAATTTCGGCAGCCACAAAGTTTGGTTTTAGTCGCCTGTCAATCAGACTGTTCAACCTGACTGCGTTTCTAGAGAAAATTTTTTTTCCCCTCAGCGCTTAATGTGTGATTATAAAACTACTACTATAATCAGGGCCACCTTGACAATAAGAACCAATCTAATTGTAGAATGATTTCAAATTTTGAGCCAGTCAAAAACCAGAGCACCACGAGAATTGTAATTTCGCCTTAATGTAACGGACACCAGGGAAAAACGTTTGCGCATGCGTGCACCTCAGCACGTTTTCTAAGAATTTTGAAGAATTTGAGTAAGAAAATAAATGTTTGTTTTCTCCAAGTATACAAAAAAGTTCGAGAGTATACTTTTGTCAGACCAAGATACTGTATTAACAAACCCAATATAAAAAAATAGTCTTAATTTTCAAGCATGGACACTAAGTTTTGGCATTTTGTGAAGTCCAATTTATAAGGCACGTTTGAAAGTCAAATTTACTTATGTTTTGACTAATTTGCATACGGATTCAGAGCATGCGCACACGTTTTTCGATGTTACGAGTAAACAACTAGATAGGCATCATGAATTTCTTTGAAATTCATCTTATATTTGCTATTTTTACGTCCATTCGGTAACATTTAACATGACTTGAAAAATAAGTAACGCGATGAAAATGAAGAAGCAAGTGGGAAAAACTTATTCTTCTGAGTTCAACTTAAACATTTTAATGGCTTCACATGTCAATCACGGAGATTTGCACAGAATCGTCAAAACTAAAGCTTATTTTGGTCAGAACACTTCGAAAACAGACTTGAAAATTCGTTCAATTTATAAGAAAGACTATGTTTAGCGTTTATTTTGATGCATACGCGCTTTTTGAAAGTGAAAAAAAAAATTATCTGAGCTCCGTCTTCAAACATTTCATTGGCTCCATACGTCAGTCACTGAGATAATTTATTCATATTGATGTATTTTCGACTATACTTCAAGAGATTTGCGCAGAATCGTCAAAACTAAAGCTTATTTTACTCAGAACAATTTAAAAATAGGCTTGAAAATTCGTTCAGTTCATAAGAAAGACTAGGTTTGGAATTTATTTTGAAGAAAGACGTGCTCCTTCTAAATGAAAAAAAATTATTTGAGCTCAGCCTTAAAACACTTTATTGGTTTCATACGTCAATCACAGAGATAATTTATTCATATTGATGTATTTTCAACTAACTTTATGAGATTTGCGCAGAATCGTCAAAACTAAAGCTTATTTTACTCAGAACACTTTGAAAATAGGCTTGAAAATTCGTTCAATTTATAATAAATGCTAATTTTGACATTTTTTTGAAGCAAGACACGCTCTTTCAAAGTGAAACAATATATTTATCTCAGCTCAACTTCGAATATTTTTATGGCTTCAGACATCGTTCATGGAGATAATTTAGCCTCACATCCGGAATTTTCTTCTATTTACGAAGAAAATTCCGGATGTCACCGCAGGCTATTCCACTCTAACTGCTTGAAATATTTTGCTCAGAAAGTTTTCGAAATAGGCTCGAAAATTTGTTCAAATTATCAAATAAAGGCTATGTTTGACAATTTTTAAAACAAATGCGCTATTTCGGATTCAAAGTGCACGAAACAAAAATCCCCACCACCACCACTCATGAAATTCTTTTTCTCAACTCGACTAGCTTTAGAGAGGCATGGGGACGAATAAGAACAAACCTTTCCTGGAATCTCGTGCGAAAAATATAAAAAATTCCAAGAAAAAATGGGCGGGTAAATTTTTAGTATAGGAAATGAAATTTTTGAAAAATAGGTTCTTCTTTGACGAAACGCCTTCCATTATGGCCAGTGGCTTAACTTTAGGAGAGACACTATGATAAGGATATCCTGTGTATGGCCAGTGCTCCAGCAGATCCAAGCGAGATCTTGCGATCTTCAACAGAGAAGAATAATTATACGAGACTAACAAGACTTTTAATAGAAGGAGGAACTTTTATCTTAAGAGAATTATTGGACAAAATAATCCCTCCCCACCAATTTAAACATGTACTGATGTTGCCAAAAGTACATAGTAAATTAAAGTTGTTGAAAAAGAAGAAAGTAATCACGCCTTTGCAGTGGAAATCTCTTTTCCCAACCGTCACTTCATGGGGTAAATCTACTGATTTTGATATAACTTTGATATTCAAACTGCTGAGAAACTTCTGTAGCTTGACTCCACCACCAAAAGGATGGGACGAGCTTCCTGACGACAAAGATTTGACTTTACCAGCCGATCTAGCGAGGATCAAGTATTATCGGAATGATGTTTACGCTCATAACGACAAAATGGAGCTGGATGACAGTGAGTTCCAAAACCTTTGGAAACGCATTAAAGATGCTTTAATGAGAATTGTCCAGCATTATAACCGTCCTAACCCTTCTGCTGTCTTAAAATGGGAGACAGCGATCGAAAAGCTCCTGACAGATCC